ATATATATAAGAACATAAGAAAAATGAAATAAATACAAATAAAAAATAGAATAAAATAAAAATTATATGTATTTATATATTTTATTTAATAGCTTATGGATTTTAATGAAATGTAAAACTGTTTTAACGTTTGATTCGTTATTGTTTAATACTATTGATATATCCGGTCCTAGAGACAATCTGTTTAAGCTTGAAGTATAATTAGGGTATTCCTGAAGAATATGAGTGACAGTTAGATGGCTATTGCAGTTTTGACATGTTGGTGGGGGCTCTTTGATAATGAGATGTAAATGAGTTAGATTTTTGTTTCCTATTCTTAATATATTCACGGGGACCTCCTCTATGCTCTTTATACATTCCTTTCCCTAGCTTTGATTCTTTAATTTCTCTTCGGTAGCGGTAAGGAAAACAGAAAATAAAAGAGAACATACACCACCAATTCATGGTATCGAAACTACTGAAAATACAATACATTAAATATTATTATAGTCGAGTGTGACCAGCATTAAATAAATAAACTGAAGTATAATATTACTACATATTTATTATGGAAGATTGGCTGTTATATGATTTCACTACTTTGCTAATTTGTACTATACAATTTGTCTACGATTTTTCTATGTGATCAACACATACGTACACATGAAGGTTTGTGATTTGTGGTTCCCATGATAGTTGAATTGGTGGAACGCTATTAACTGATTTGATTTAGTTATTTCACAGAATAATGAGTTTATTCTCAATCTTATTATTACCATATTTGTTTTTTTTCTAATTAAACTAATTTATATCCACTAAATATTTTATATATGAGTAACCCCAAAACAAATTTCCCCTAAAAATAATTTTCAAATAATAACTTTTGTATAATAATAACCAAAAGTTATTCATTAAAAATGATCTTACCAAAGCACTTAATCAGTTCCTTACACTGTCTTTTGTGAGATAAGTTTAACTTTGTTCCTCTACAACTTAATCAAAACATGCTTAAATGTTTCTTGGAGGAGTAAAAACACACTGCTACATGTGGTATGAAATACTTGGAAGAAACAAGATACATGTGATTCAATAGTTTATAGATAAACTCAAATATACTGCATCTAGGTATTATGCAGAGTTAAAGAAAATAACTAGTAAAGAGTTTTGTATTAAGGTATTCTCAGTTTCTATTCTATTATATTGGTCCCATTATCAAGAGTAATATTTCATGATTTGATTTTATTTGGAAACCCTGATTGGTTTTTGTTTTTGAATATTTCTTTAGTATCATTTACAAAAAGAAAGTATAACTTTTTTTTAAGAACATTGCATTGCAGTGTAATCCAGTTAGAGCTGGAAGACCGGATTATCCTACAGATTGCCAACCCAAAGACGAGGTAACGGAGACATATTCCGTGGGTTCCCTATGATGAAAATGTTCTTGGCCAGTTTCGAACTCTATAGTTTCCGAAATCATATTGAAATCAAGTAGTATTCGGTATTTAACTGACTAAACTAACTTTTAGTATTATGAGGACTATTTAAGTTAATATTCTTATATTTTTTTTATGTATTCTTAACTTAGTGGGTATACTCTTCTGAACAAAACAAATCTTTTAGCCTCTATGTAATACAGAAAAGAAAAAAATAACATATCCATTCAACTGTATGAAAATTTCTCTTCGAATTTCCTATTCTACACAAATCTCAACTTAAGATTGGGTATTACATTTTTCATGATCGATAAGTCATCAAATACCTGATAACGAGGAAGGCTGAATATAAAGTTTGGTAACCGGGGTGATAAGGAGGGTTTACGGCTCAAGTTGTGAAAGAAACGAAATATGATTATGAAAAGGGGCGTGGCGGGAAAAGAAAAGCCTGCTTTAGTAATATTGCAAGGGCTGAGGGTGTTTAGGAAAATTGAGTTGTTTCACGGAGGCTCTTCTTCGGGAAAGGACGAATTTAAAATTTGATATCAGCGAGCCCCTCCCAAGTTGAATAACGACGTTCAGCGATGAAGTATTTTTTCAGCTAGCAGCTGCCTCTGGATCTGCTTTCCTCTCCCCATCCCGGCTTTGATTGCGATATAACTAGACTAAAAACAGCTTTAGTCGACGTCAGGTGTCTAGTTGATTATACTTACTCAAGATGCCATTAAAAAGTCTGGATACCACAGATTTCTGAAAAATCCTTCAGCCTTAAAAAAGAAAATACCTCAATAACTAACTTTAAAAAAATAATTAAACAATTTAAATATTTTTTACTGCCTAAGTATTCTAAAAGCGAATATTCCAGAATCTTAGCAAGCCCTTCTGCAAACTTTGGTCGATGGATGACCCACACTCATACCCCAAGGCGAGATTCTTTGGAATTGTTCCAACAGTAATCCCCTCGCTCCTTCATTTTCATCCTTCTTTCTTAACGTCTTGGGTTTCGAAAAGGTTTTAACATCCTTTTTATATTCTAGTCTACTTAACCGAGCGAAGAATACACCTGGGGGTCGAACTCGGTATGATATATTCATCTTGTCCTATCCTTACCATCAATACATGTCTAAAGATATTATTTTTAAATCCACTGGTAAATTGAGATTCAAATTACATGTGTTGTGCCATCTTAACACAACACATTAAATTTCTAGTTTTTTTAGAGTACAAGCAAAACGAATAATTTTAAAAATCAGAAATGATAACTTTAAATACTACAGTTCTTTAAGGGTATAAAACACGAATGCTTACTTTGAAGCAAGAACAGCGCCTCAGGTTCTTAGAAAATTGAGTAGTTCGTGGAATTGTTGTTCAAAACTAAAGTGCATTCATAGGATAATTTATTAGGCCACATAATGCAGAACAGCGGAGCAAACACAATCAATTAGGTCTGTGCAATGGAACAGACTGAGGATTAAGTGGGAGGATATTGTCAGAACTACCGTTTTAGATTGCGAATTTGTTCAGGTTCACTGAAGATTTGGATGACCATCACTAATGATATATAAGTTGAACCTAAGTCCATTTATCATTATCGTTGTTATTATTGAATAAAAGGCTTTTCGCTTTTAAATGAGTCTTAGCGTTGCTTTAAGAACGAGTGTAATTAGCATTCAATCTGCAAACGAAACACCAATTACATTATCCTTGTACAACTGATAAATAGGGTTTCAAAACGTGCTGGGAGGGTAGTAAAAATGAAGTTTTCTCTCGAAAACAATGTTTAAATTTGAATATTTCAATCATATGAATTTATATGGTCATTTCAATTTTAGAGTAAAATATAAAAAATCCTAAAAATTTTAATTGAAGCTCTGTAGATATTGGTAATAAACTATAACCAAGTAGATATAGTTATAGGTTAATAAGACCCCTCCGTGAACTAATGTAGTGATAAGATTTGCTATAAAAGTAAAATGACGTCACCTTTGGAAGTATCTAATAACAGTTCACCCACGTTTACGGTTAGCACTGAGTACTCTCCATCACTATTATTACTTAGAAGGAAGGTAATTTTCTCTTCGCTCCGTTCTATTAAAGGGTTCATTAGTGACTTCTAGCAACTTAATAATTTTTATTTATTGATTAATAAATAAATATGTGGTTAGATTTAGATTCAAGTCCGCCACAAGGGGAAAAAAGAACTACCTAGAGCACGTCCAGGCTCTATAAATAATCCACTTCCAAGTCCAAAGGGCAAACGAAAACCGTGCTGTTTTATCAACTAAAAAATGGATTTTAATAATTTTAAAATCTGGTGCATCAAACAACTTTAACTTACTACCCTACTTTCAGAAAAATTGTTTTTTTTTTTTTTTAAAGCTAAGCACAAAAGGTTTTGGAGGCCGCATGCGGTAGCTATGATCCATAGCATAGTTGGGTAATATTTTTATCATAAGAGGCCGCAGAAAGGTTGGGCAGTGCTAATGGAAGCCGCAATATTTTTTTTTATATTTTGCTTTAGCAATTGGTATTTGTCACTATATTCACACACCAACATACTTTCACTCAACTTAATGGTTCATTACTGGATGAAAACATTAATTTACAATAAAATAATTCCAAGGCAGCTTTTGGATAAGTGGAGGAATTTACTTATATAGGATCAGAAGTCAATTCCCAGAATGACATTAACGGGAGCTTAGGTCTCGGTTGGACTACTTGAGCACAAAAGCGGAATAGTATCCCGAGCATCCAAGATCCGTCTGTATGAAACATTGGTTCAGCCAGTACTGACTTATGCTGCGGAATCCTGGACTATTGCCTGAAATAGGGAACAGACTCCTAATCTTGAGAGGCGGATTCTTAGGAGAATTTTGGGAGCAATATGTGTATGTGAAGTCTGGAGACAACGGATTAATGGCGAATTAATGCACTGCAGGGTGGCTCTTATTAAGATAAGCCATCTCAGAGGGACTGGACATGTTATCAGAACGCCAGATGATCAGGTCCAAAAAAACATCCTCTTGGAAGAAATCTTTGGAAAAAGAAGAAGAGGAAAACCAAAGTTACGATGGATGGAGGATGTTGATGCACGATCCATGCTTGGGATCCAGAACTATAAGACGACAGCGCAGAACTTGGATGACAAAGGGGGGGGGGAGTCAATGCTATAAGAGGACTTGTCTCCAAGTCGATATTATGAGAGGAAATAATTAAGTAATATACGGATGGCAGAGTATACAACTGATAACTACAAATATTGGACTGGGAGCAAATATTGCTCGAGGAAAGTTTTATAGAACTTACTTAAATATTCCTGAAGAGGGAGGAGAAGTGGAGATATAGAAGCGACTAGATCGCGAAACTTTATGACAAAAAGGATGCTGTTTGGAAAGAGAAATAAAATGAGAATAAAGTAGAGATGTGAATGCCTACTCTAGAAAATAGTGCGGCACAAATCTCGAAAGGCTTTAGTTGCCTAAGAGAGAGAGGGAACGGGGGAAAATGGCCTTTTTTTTCTCAGATACTATGATGATCATAAATTATGGAGTGATGGAATAGAGTGAGGTGTTTCGAGATAAACCTCCCCTACGTGATTCCAATTCCTCTCAAACCGGCAGCTGCTCTTCTTGGCATACGATTCAGCGGACGGCCCTTCTATGCATCAAGTAATAACGGACTGTATCCCATGAGAGGATGCAGTTTTTAGCAAGATGGGCCTTTCAACCACATCTTGTGGAAACAATCTAGTCTATGAAAACTATGAAGTTAAATGTCTACGGGTGACATATGTTTTTTTCATGCCAGCATGTTACGAACACCTTTATTTGGAAGAAATAAAAGTAAAGAGGAAACGTAAATATAAAAACAATTTTCACACGTTCAATCAATGTCTACTAAAACAATTAATGCTTTTGATTGGTGAGGTTTTTTGTTGTTTTTTTCAATATGTGTGTGTAGAATAGGGACGAGCTCATATGGCTCTATGGATATGGTGATGAACTTGCCATGTTGTTTCTAACCAATCTCTAATATTCCATTCGCAGGTCTCTCCCTCGCAAGTGGACTCGTAGTGTTCGCTTCAGTGGTGTCGGATGTGAGCTTGGAGCGTCCACGAAGAGGCAGCAACCCGACCTTCCAGTACCGCTACGGTTGGTCCTTCTTCAGCGCAGGAGCCGCCTTCGTCCTCTCCGAGCTGGCGGCTGTACTGTCCGTGACCGCCTACCTTAGGAGATTCCCTTCGCCGGAGGATATGGTTCGGGCTGTGGTGCCGGGAGCGGAGAGGAAGCTGCTGGCCACCAGACACACAGAGTATGGAGTAAGAGACCCTGTGGAACATAACAAGGTACAGGTTCGTAATCGATAAAGTTTTTCATAAATGATTATCACTTAACTCCTAAAATTAGTGGTAGGATATATCTTATTTGCCTTAGTTTTAATCGAGGTTTGAAATTTTGAAACCATGTCCAATTCCCAATTCTTTAAGATAAGATGGGCAACCACGCCATCAAAGCCAGTAAGAACAGTTTTGATAGAACTTGCGCTATTAAAAAAAAAAAATGAAATGGAAAACGGCTGGCTTTGGATTTCTTTATCTCAATATTAGGAGTCCATTTTACTAATGACTCGTTTTCCACAGCAAGAGTTGCTCGTCCCTTCGCTGGAGGAGAGCCTCGACGGCCCGCTGCTGAAGCCGGACCTCTGCCAGACGCAGTGCCAGTCCTGCCTGAAGGAGGCAGAGCGGCAGATGGCAGGTACCACGGTCCCCATCACAGTGCGGCGGCCAAGGGGGGTCCTCCACGCGGGGGTCCTTGGGGTCTCCGACGGGTGGAGTTCGGGGTCCAGTCCCAGCTCGGCGTCCCCAGCGCCCAGGCCGAGGGGGCCGCCGCCCCCGCCCATTTGACACGAGGTCAACTCGGACGAGGACATCGTCTAACAGAGGTAATATTACACATTTACTCAAATTTCATTTCACAGCTGTTTATGATTTTTTTTTTCGTTATGTTATTGATAATATTGTTTTATTACTACTAACTTGAAGTAGGTACATTCTACAAAGAACAAAAATGAATATGTTTTGAAGAATATTCACGAGTAGTATGGAGAGTGAGGAGAAAGAGCTAAAAATATTGCAATGCTAGAAATAAGCTTATTGCCATATTGAAAAGGTTCTACTGGCAACTCGTGGAAAGGACACCCAGAAACAAGAAAAACTGACCAAATTAAACTAAGTTCAACTTAATCCGAGATTTTTTATTTTTTTATTTTCCCCTTCCTAGCTTTTTAGACTATACGGGTTTTTCTTGTGCCAGAGGTAAGGTCGGGTGATTAATGTCAGAATTTAAAAAAAAAAACACTGGCACTGCAAATTTCGTACTAATAGGCGCAATTTCGTAATAATTTTATTCCATATAACTTCACTTATCAGGCAACGCGTTAGGTTAGCCCGCTTGGCCACCCCACCCCTTTACTTAATCCGAAATAAAATAATACTAGACTAAAATAAAAATAACTATTGTCCGTTTAGTCTCAGATTTTATATTTTAGTGTTACTTTCACTCTTTCTCCTGCTCAATTCTGATAATATACAAATTGAAAAAAAAAAACATTTCGAGATTTTATTTTCCCTCGCTTGTTAAACTTAAGTATATGATATGAGGTGTGTTAAAGTATCTACGCTAAAGACCTTTCCTTCATTAGATATTGTCATTGACGCGTTCTTAAAAGATCCAAATGTATTGATTAAGGATTATATTAAATAAATAACAAGTTCTAAGGAAGCTTAAACTGATTAAGTTGGATATTTAAAAAAAATAAATGTCTTTTATTACATTAAGTTGTATCTTATGTTCATTCTTTTTGCGAACCTTTGCAATGCAGAAAAACATATTTTTTAGTTTTGTTTATTTGATCACTCCTTTTTCCATTCCCATCCCGCAAACTTTTATATTCTTTCTCATAGAACTGTTTCCTTTATCATTCGTCTACCTTGTTTTGGAATTCCTTACCCCCCACTATACTCCAAATCTCATTTTTAACTTTAAGTTTTCCATCTCCTCAGCAGTCAATCAATCTATCACTGAGTATATTTTTGCATTAAATATTCGTATTTTAGTATAGCCAGCATTATTTTACTGTAATTTCACAGATGCCATTTATATTGTTTGATTTGTCCATATGTAAGCACTCTTAAGGACATTTATGTATTTATAATTTTATTAGTTTACTTTTATATTTTCTGTATATATGGTGTGAATGTGTTTATATATCACTATAATTATTATCCACGTGACAGATTATTATATTACTACTGATTTTTATATTACTAAAAGAAAAAAAAAATGTTTACTTATGATAGTCTTTTATCATTCAAAAAAATAAAATAATATATTTTAATTTTTTTTTTTTTACTGAACACCACAAGGAATCTTCTCTTCAATTATGCACTGCAGTCAACCATCAATTCACAATTATGATAGTCTTTTATTTTTATTTTTAAAAATTATTATGTGTCACCTACCATTATGTGTCAGATAAATCTAAATGTAATGCCTATTTCATTATTCTGGGAGAACTTGTTACCACTCCTGATGAAGCCATTTTCTCAGTGTATATTAGTTAAATCTTGGTTATTCAAAGGTTTGTATTTTTTTCCATTAATTAAAAATGTGTATTTCTATTTTAACTGGATTATTTATTGAGTGAACCTGCCAGAATCTTTGAAAGGCTGATATATAATGCTCCTATCTTTCAAACTATGATCTAGTTCGTAAGAGTAGTAAAACTGTAATAAAATTTAAGATATATAATCGTCCACTATTCACTATTCCAGGCCAAAGATAATGCTTTAATACCTCCATAGTAATAAAGCAAACTATCCAATATGTCCCTCTTAGCGAGCCGTATAATGGCAATGAATAGCGATTGGGTACGGTACTCGTACCATGGGTTGGGTGTAGTTCGCATAGATTCTATAGCCTCCTCGTAAATACTCCTTTTGTCCAACTTAAACAACGCTACTATGTAGGGGAACCCATAACACCCTCAATAACCTAACCGTTTACAATAGTTTATAATAACGAGTCTTTTTCTTCATTGCTTACATAAAAAAATATCTATATAGAATATTATTTTTATGATCATTTAGTTATTAATTGATTTATTGATGTTAATTTCATTAAGTTGTTACTTTATTATTGTCTTCTTCACCACTTTATTCTCTCGTTTTTTGCTAACTTTGTGACCATTATCTTATATATCCTAACTTTGCTTCTGCTATTTTCTATTCCTAACTTTTTTACCGTTATTTTATACTTCCTTTATTTATATATCATATATTTGTCTTTCCACATATTTATTAATGTTAAGTTTATTTAAACGTCATTAGACTATACCTTTTACTAACATATTATTACTTTTATCGTGCACTAATTTCTCATGTTTATGTTATCTTGTTTTTTCTTTTTCTTGATGAAGCCCTAAAAATTGGGTCGAAAAGTCGTTAAATAATACTTATTTTGACTTCATTGTTTGTTTGACTGGACATCCCAACCAACTTCTCTTCAATATATCTTGGACAGCCAATAATAAATCCAAAATTAAATATTTTTCTAAAATTTTACAGTTGGATCGTTGATCCAATCGAATCAATGGATTGAACCAATCCATTTACGGAATCATTCATTATTGATATAAATAAAATTTTGTTTCAGGCATACCTTCGAGGAGACGATCCGGCAGACTGAGATCCGAAGAGAGAACAACATGGACGTAATGTACACCGTTTCGCACATCGCAACCGTTGACATATCGATAATCGAAATATAGTCGGATCGATCTCTCACCTGGTTAATCGGCGAGTGGATGCTACCTCTGTATTTACAATCCTCATCGCCAAGGCCCAATGCAAACATGGGCCCTATGTAAATATGTAAATATTCCTTTTTTTGTCGAGCTGAGCTCACCTTTGTTCTGTGACATACCTGGCCAGTTTTAACCGTTATTGGCAGATTGACATGAAAGGTAACAGAATTCGAACAACCTCATCCCTTTCACATTTTTTTTTTACTGTATGTTTGCATAAAGTGTTTTGTTTGGTTGGTTAAATAGTATTAATAAGATGTGTTTCAGGATTTATTCTCTTCACAGTCCCTTGAGGAGGTATTTCAATAGCATATTTATTTATAAAAATATGATCAATACAAGTTAAAATTTAGAAATAAACCCAATACATCATAAGTATGACCAATATTGGAATAAGTATTTATGTAAAAGAAATAACATCTTCTTGCTTATTCTCTTTAGCAAAACATTTCAATGTCTATTTTTAATAACCTTTTAACAACCTTTAAGATATAAATCAATATATTTCTGTTTGTTTTTTGTCCAACAGTTAAATAATAGATGTTTTGGCTTGCGTTAGATGTAAGATTGGACCCCTGTGTATTTAAAATATTTTTCAAATGTTTAAATTAGGATAAACATTGTGTTAGCTCCTAAAACCCGAGTGTCAGTCCAGTTTTTGTCAAAAAGGTCTGTCAAATGAGCAGTGGATCGACCCTGGAGTAGGGTTTCACATCCTATACAATACCATAAAGTTCTTTTGAAGTCTTATGAAGACAACAAAATAAGAGCTTGAAAAACAAAGTTTTTTAATCCAAAATTCTTAAGAGATAGTTACTAAGATCACACACCTCTAACCTATAAAATGCCTTAAACTCGATAACAGCCATCAATATTCGTTTTTTCTTTCTAGATATCTAATCAAACATTTACCTAATTTTATCTCTGGTATAATGAAAAGAACATTGTGATATCTATGGCAGCTGTCCACAACGTATTAAATGAAAACATCATATTTATAGAAAAACACAATTAAATGTTTCACGGGTGAAAGTTCTATTTTCGTTTTTCTACTCATGATTCACAAAAGCATTGTCATATCTGTAATATCCACATAACTTTGACCATTAAGCATAAAGAAAGAGAGAAAAATTAGCTTTCTGGTGATACCCATGAAAATTCACAAAAGAGTACATTTTTCAATGGTGCCACACATATGTAAGTAAGACCGACAAAAAACAAAACATTAAAATAATTATTAAAATAAAAACACATGTCCAAACACAAAAGTTTAGTTTTCGTCAAATCATGTAGGCATAGTCACTGAAAAAATATTGCGTGAAGCGGCAGGGGGACTCAAATTAGCAGTCTTAGACATTTGACGCCTCCGGACAATTAAGTCTTCTGCCCCCAAAAAATTTAAGTTATTTTAAGTTAAGTAATATTTGAATAGTATTTCTGGTAACATTCAAACGAATTTATAATTCAGTTACTATATTAATTATTCTCATACGCTTTGTAATCCAAATGTGGCGGTCGCATATCTTGCCCTAAGGCCAGCAATGAAGCTTAATATAATTTGCTATCAGAGTTTATTGGGAGATGGAAAAGGGGATGGAAAGCCAAGCATGATAAGGGTAGCTCAGTGTTCAATTCATTATTGTTTATATTATATAATTAATTTATAATTTATAATATAATTTTTTTTCCTCCCCTTCCTCGCCTTTAAGGCTATACGGGGGTTTTCCTGGGTCCGGGAGTGTGGGCGGGGATTTAAAAACTCCTCCGGGCACCGGGATGCGAACTCGTGACTATTTGCAGTGCACTGCACACGCGTTAGCCCATTCGGCCACCCCGCCCTTCTATAATATAATTACTATCCATACGGTTTATTGAACATTTTGTGAGTTGTATTCGAGTATACGTCTGCAAATTATTGGAGAGGGGAGGAGGGCTGGTCTCCCTTCAAAACATATGACTCCTTCCAGAGCCGGCGACAATGAGTACAGGCACTTAGGTCCGATCTTCCGTGGCCGACCTGATACAATTGTACAGCTAATGGTTTCTTCCTAACATATCCCAAACCA